ATGGATGGGCGGATGGATGGATGGGCGGATGGATGGATGGGCGGATGAATGGGCGGATGAATGGGTGTATCTGCACAAGTGAGAATGACATGAAAATATAGGAAGAAAGAAAGAGAAAGAGAGAGAGAAAGAGAAAGAAAGAAAGAAAGAAAGAAAGAAAGAAAGAAAGAAAGAAAGAAAGAAAGGAGGAAGGAAGGAAAAAAGGAAGGAAGAAAGAAAGAAAGAAAAGAACCAATGTGATGTCAGATGTGTAGCTCTTTAAAGTTTTCTCTGAAATGAAAGGAACGGAAGAGTGACAGAGGAAGTAGAATGTGTTAGCTTCTCATTGATGCAACAAATACCTGAGAATGTCTACTTAAAAAAATATTTATTTTGGCTCATGATTGTGAAAGTGTAAGTCTGTTGTAGTTTGAATTAAAGTGTTCCCAACACGCCCATCGCTTTAATGTTTGGATCCTAGTGGTGGTACCATTTTGGAGAGGTTCTGAAAACTGTAGGAGGTGGAGTCTTCCTGGCAGAAGCAAGTCAGTAGGCAAAGGCTTTCAAGGGTTATACTTGACTCTGTTTCTGTCTCTGTTTCTTTGTTTGTGTGACGTCAATTGCCTCTGCCACACAATGAGCTAAGCTGCTCGGCCTGTCTGTCTTGTTATAACAAACCAAATATCATGAACCTGAACAAATCTTAGGTCTCCTAAATTGTTTCTGCCTGGCATCCTGTCATAGCAACAATAAAGTAATGGAAACAACCCATGGTCCCTTGGTTCCTTTCTGGCTTATGGTGAGGTAACACATCACATCAGGGGAAGCTGATGAAGCAAAGCTGCGCATCTTATGGTACCCTGGAAACAAAGAGAGAGATAAGTTCTAGACCCTCAATCGTATATCCACAATGAAAAGGGTACATATTCTAAGATTTTTCCACTACCATATGTGTGTGTGTGTGTGTTTGTGTGTGTACTCAAACAAGGCATACAGATTGAACAGTAACAGTTGCTGATAACAAACAATAAAGAATTTATTTTAAGCTGAATGTGGAACCACATACCTTTAATACCAGAATTCAAGAACTTGGTAAGTTTGAGGTCAGTTTGATCTACATAGCAAGTTCCAGACCACCTAGGGCTACATAGTAGGACCTTACAAAAAGAAAGAAAAGAAGGGAGAGAAGGTGGGAAGGAAGGAGGGAAGGAAGGAAAAACAGAAAATTTTACTTTTGAACAATTCTTTGGTATACTTACACTTTCTAAAGACAAGAACAAATTTGCATATTTAGGAGATGGGTATATTTGTTTGTCCAGCACAATGTGATTAAAAGATACACTCATTTGATACTGATGTGCTAAAAAGCAATACAAGGAAAAACTAAGTAACTATAAGTTAAGGGAGTAACTAAACCATTATGTTTCTATGAGAGCAGGAAACTTTATACATCCAGGGAAACCCCTGCAGTCCCTAACAACAGTACCCTCACTCTGAGCTGAGGTGTTTGAGGCAGTACTCACTAGAACTGCATGGTGTAGCAGCATGGCCAATGCAAAGTTCACATATGTTGAGTTTACAACCAAGACTGCAGTAAAGCCATGCCATGCAGCACAGGTGAGTGCTGCGTGCAGCACTTTGAATTTACTGCACGCTCAGATTTTGAATTAATTTGTGATGACTACATGCTCCGAAACCTTTTTTTCTGTGGCCAATTTTCCCCAAATTTCTTATTTAGTGACTGAACTCTATATGACATTGTGACCCATAGTTTAAGAAACTTTGGTCCAGGAGGCTCGAGAGTAATCAATGAAATGATCAATGGCCAGCCTAACCTCTGGGAAGTGATCTAGGCTGGACAGGGCCAACACAGGAGGAAGGGATGATCTCACCAGTAGATGGAAATTAGGCTGCAAGCACAGGAAATTCTCCATGCTATCACAGCCTCAGGGAGCTGAGAAGCTCCCACACCCTTGTCTTACTGGTCTTCTCTAGGTTAAACAAGAGTGGGCACTGACACTTTTCATACTTCATTCAGAGAAAGACCCTGGCCTCTCCTTCTTGCCCAGCCTTATGTAGGCCAGGAAGCTTGTGTGCACACTTTATCCCTATGGCCTTGTATCCAACTCAATCAAAAGGAAGTGAATGGCTGCCGTTAATTCTTTCCCCACCCTTGTTTGCTGCTGTATTACATGAATCTGGGATCAAAGACTGCAGTCATTATAAATAAAAGGGTACCTACTGAAATATGTTGACAAAGACCTTCCAGTCCCAGAAGAGCAATCCTTACAAACTGAAAACTTGGGGTTTTTTTTTTGACAGATTGCCAACGCTGCTTTGTTCACATTAGAAGTATCTGCCAAGGAAGAAACCATGAAACTCAGTCACAAAAGATGGCTGTATAAGTTTAGTGAGAGATCTGTAAGTAACTCTGTGTGAATACTCGCTCTAGACAAATGGGCATTCTCTAAACAAAAATACTGGGAGTTTATGAGCCAGACACTCCTCTCAAAGGTAGAGAAAGGGGATTTAGAGACAGGCTCAAAGAATTCTTATCTCCTGAAGAAAATTCCAGAGTCACTGAGAAGAGGATTGAAGCGCCTTGCAGGAAATAAGGTTAGAGGTGACAAACTAGGGCTGTGGTTCAGTAGAAGAATGCTTGCTTAGCACGCATGAACCCTTGAGTTCAATCTCAACATTAGAAAAGAAGAGAGGCAATGAGGAGGGGGGACATCAGAAAAAGGAGTTGGGGACGGAAGCAAGGAGAAGAGAGGAAAGGAGAGAAAGAAGTAGAAGAAAGAGAAGGGGAAAGAGGAGGAGGAGCGGAGAATCTCTGGTAACTGAATCATTATCAGGCTCAGGGCTGGTGAATGCTGCCTGGTTCTGCACACCCTGTGCATCTTACAAGGAGGATGGGCCGCCTCCACCCTCTAGGGATGCTCTGATGGATTGAAGCTGAACTGAATCGTGACCAGGTTTCTTTAAGTTATTGAAACCTGGCCGGATATTAGTCAGGCCTTTGCTAAGCACCTTCCCAAGTACCACCCAACTCTCAAAAGCGACAGGAAGGAGCTCATATCATCCCTTTATATTGGTTGGAAAGTCACAGTTAAAAAGATGAAGGCTCCCTGGCCAGTGTTATATCTCTGGTCACCTTAATCTCACATTACATTTATTAACCCTACCTATTAGCTTCTGAACAGTCAGATGATAGTGACCATATAGGTGCCACTGACTCCCCTTCTAGAACCACAAGCCAAAATAAACTCCTTCTTCCGTAAGTCACATTAGGTCACGCTGCTATGTTATAGCAAGGAACAGTAGCTGACACAGAAGTTGGCGTGAGAGTAGGAGCTTTGTGAAGAACTTGAACCTGGTGCTTTTGGAGAAATGTAAAAGGCTTTGGGACTTTGGACAGGAAAGGCAATTAAATATTGAAAATGTAGCTTACGGGGCCATTCCGGCAGGAGACAGGAGACAAGAGCGCTGAGTGATGAGGGCTGTGGAAGTATAACTCCATAGAGTCCAAGGGAAGCAAAAATTTGAAAAGTAAGTGGGCTGCATATCATTCTTGAGACAGTTTAACAAAGAATCTGGCGGTAAGCTGCCCAGTGTGGGATCTGGGGATAAAACTCCGGTCCTCCGCCAGAGCAGCAGGTGTCCTCAAGCCGGATCTGAGCATTGCTCCAGCCTCTGACTTGCTGTTTCTTAATTGTGAGAAGATTCTTTTCGAATCCAGGAAAGGTGTCTTCTGTCACAGAAGGCAGGAAAAAAAATCAGAACATGAAGATTCATAAGGAGACCTTTGAGAAATAAGTAAAGCCACCTCAGCAGCTCAGCCCCCTCACCTGCCTGTGCCTGAATATCTCACCCCGGTTCATGGTAGGTTTCTATTAGTATGTAAAGTGGATCAACCTTAGATGGTGCATTTGGGAAACTTAGGAAAAGTGAAAATTTATAAAAAATATTCTTTTGGCACTTTAAGTATCGTTAGTGTAGTGAGCCCAAGCCAAAAATCTGGTCACGACAAGCTTCCGTTAGAAGTGACTACCGTTTGCCTTCCGCTTATCAACGTATCAAGCTGGCAGGCACCTGCCATACCAATGGCAGTGTCCTTGCACTTCCCCTTGGCATGTGGCCAGCACTCAGAAGTGGTGAGCCGCACACTTGCTACCATCAGCTGGCCAGCCCAAACCACAGAGAGCCCCGTAGGCGCCTTCTCCGCCACTGGTCACTGCCGTTCATGTCATTGGTGAAAATCCACACAGACTTAGAATAAAGAAGAAAAACATTATCATAGTTTTTTATGGCTGAGAGCACACAGATATCTTGGGAAAATAGAGACAGTTTCCTCAGTGAGTGCCACATTGCAGGGACTTCCATTCTAGAGAAATTTCCAGCACCCTACAACCTTGTACCATGGAGAGGTTTGGCTTAAATTCAAATATTCCTTTGTCATATAAACAATACAGTATGGTCCGGAAGGGTTAGTTGTGCATGATCTGGTTACCACAGGTAACTTCAGAATCGTTTGTCAACAAGCTTTCAATAATGATAACTCGACTTATTATTTATGTTATCATTTGAGCCTAGCAAATACTTGCTATAGATGTGAAGCAAATAGGTACGGTTTCCTGATTGGCTGCACACTGGTCTGAGGAGTCATTACAGACCAACCCAGACCCACACATCCTTGACAGCACTGATTGACTGCAACAAACACATTCAGTGGGATCTGCTAGGGGTTCGATCTCAGAATACTGTTATTTCTGAGATGGAATTCAGTGCAGCAAGAACAAGGCCACACCCCAACCTTGTCACAACATCTACTGTGTTGTCCGAAGTTCTTGTGTAACTCAAGCTACCTCAGGAAAAAAATTGAACAAGTATATATATTTATTTACTATTTATTAATATACACTCATTAGCCTATTTTGGCTGTTCTAAGGGAGGCTGACTCTTTATGTGGTATCAGGGTGACTATTTATAGCTTCCTTCCTCTCAGAGTAACATAAACACTGAGAAAATGAGGATGCCTCTCTCCAGTGGTACAAGAAAGTACGGGATGGGAGCACATGCCTTTCCCTTTCTGTCCTCAGCTTTGGCCTCAGTCACAGCAGCCCCTGAGATGCTGATACCCAAGAACCAGATTGCCATCTATGAACTTCCTTTTAAGGATAGAATGATAGCGTGAAAATAAATTCCACATCCCCAAACACCCAGAGCTGGCAGAAAAGAATGTACTTAATCTTCAAGTAATAAAGACCACCCAGTCTCTCCAGTCTCAGAGCTACGGAAAGGAGCAATTTGCCTGGAAACATTTCCACTGCCACCTTACCCAGGAGGGCATCCAGTATCTCTTCCATTACTTCCAACAGCCTTCTAAGACCGTGCATACCACCCTGAACTACAATCATCCTGAAACCAGCAGGCTGGGCTTAAAAAGACCAGAGAGTAGGAAACTTCAAGATTCATGAAGGGAGGCTTAACATGGCATTGAGAAGTAGTTCTGGCACCCCGATACTGACAAGAAAGCCAAGGCTGGGATTGGCTCAAGAGTAGGGTTCCTGTTCAGAGGCAGCTTTGTCATGGACATGGTCAGCCACCTCAATGAATCTGGAGGAGATTGTTTTGTGTTGAATAAACTTGTAATTTAATAATAAAAATAGTAAGTGGAGATCAGGCTGGGGATATGGCTCCGTGAATTTGTAAAGCATTTGCTACACAAGTGTGAGGACCTGAGTTCGGACTCCAATACCCATATAAAGCCATATGCAGTAGTAATCATCTGTGTTCCTACAATGAGATGGGAGGCCAAAAACAAGTGAATCTTCAGAAACTGATAGGCTGTCTAGCCTAGGATATGCAGCAGTGAGTAGGAGACCCTGTTCAAACTAGGTAACAGGCAAGGCCTGAGATCTGAGGTTGTCCCTCAACCTCTGTATACCTACATGGTACCTGTATGCCTGAACTCATGCATAGATCACACCACACATGGGGAGGGGGGGAGGGAGGAAGGGGAGAGGGAGAAAGGAAAGGAGGAAAAAGAAAATGACAGAAAGAAATGAAAGAGAGAATGGATCTCATTGACTTCTTTCTCATTGACAGAATTAACAAAACATAGCCAAACACTGTGACTATAATAATAGCTGACTCATACCTCCCTGGTACCTTCTTAGGGACCTATGCAATGGGATCAGCCTCCCTTGGACCTGATATACTAATTTCTAATGGCTAGCAAACCAAGGTTATAATGGCTTGGTTTGTGGCAAGGTACCACAAACTTGGTACTTTGACACCGAGTATCTATTTCCTCATGATTCTGGAAACTACAAGTTTGAGTTGAAGACGTCACTTGGATTGCTTATTCTGAGTCCTTGCTCCCAGTTTGTCCATGGTCATCTTTCCCCGGAACCTCACATGATCTGCGCATCAGTCTCATAATCTCTTTAGAGGACCTGAGTCATATCAGAGTCTACTGTACCAACATTTCTTTAACTTATTGACCTTTCTCAGGGTAGAGGTGAATAAGTTAAATAAGTTAGGTAAAAAGAAAGGAATAAAGAAAAAAAACATACAGATATACAATCACAGATAGATAGATAGATAGATAGATAGATAGATAGATAGATAGATAGATAAAATAAATGATAGGTAGGTAGGAAGACAGATAAATGTCTTATATAGTCATAGATAGACAGATAGTCACAAATAGATAAATAGATAAGTAGATAGATTAGAGAAACAGATAGATAGATAGATAGATAGATAGATAGATAGATAGATAGATAGATAGATAGATTGATTGATAGAGGTCCTAAAGATTCTAGCATGTGAAATTTGGAGGGACATAGTTCAGCCTCTTAAGTTTAATTTTCTCGGAAATTTAAGATGCTATTAGCAAAAGAAGGGACATTAATGTAAAGCAGGCAAAGGCAGCAAGGCCTGCCACAGCTTTTCTGTCTGTGCCCACAGAGTCTGTGATGGGGCAGGTCTAGGGCCTCAGGAATGCCCACATATGGAAGGTTAACACCTTCAGTCAACAGGGCAGGGAAGGAATTTTAATGCTCTCAAATCATGCTGCTTAAATGTGTTCCATTAAATACTAGTTTCATTTGGGGATTTAAATAGATCTTACTGAAAAAAAAAAGGATTATGTGGTTTAAAAAAAAAGAAGTTTGTGTTTTGCTTTGTTTGGAAATGCTTAACTCAAATTAGACAAGTTTCTAGACCACAGGACTTCCCAAAGCCTTTTAATATGTGAACGATTTTTGTGAAGCTCCAAGAATGAGCGTGTAATCTAAAAAATGTACCATCGCTCCAGACACACAGCAGAAAAAGCTTCTTTATGAAATGCTGTTCACATATGGGACATAAATTAAGTTTTGATTGGGTGATGAGGACAGGATGACGGCACAACTAGACGTCAAAATGGTGAAAGGCTGGCTTTGCCAATTCTACAGAGCTTTGGCCCGATCTCGCGCTGTACGGTCAAATGTTTATGTTCCTCCAAGGACCCTGTGTTGATATCCTAACTCTCAGTGTGATGGTACTTGAAAGCGGGGCCATTGGGTGGTAATTACGTCATGAGAAAACCTTTGTGCATCGGATGTGTGTGTTTATGAAAGGAATCCCAGAAAGAGAGTTACCTTGTCCTTTGTCCATCTGAGGACATAGTAAGAAATACTGTGTATGAACCAGGAAAGAAACCCTCACCAGACAATAAATCTCTGGCCACCTTCAGTTAACACTTCTTAGGCTCCCAAACTGTGAAGAAAAAAAAGCTCTTTCAGTTGTGTGTCAGCCACCCAGCCTCTCCTCTTCTGCTATACCATCCTGAACACTGGCATCTAACACACTCACCATCTTAACCTCTGCTCACAGACAGCAGGAGGCTTAGAAAGGAAAGAAGTGAGCCACCAGGGTTGGCTGCAGACAAGACTGAAGAAGCTAATCAGGATAGAAGCATGAAGGAGAAGTATAGTTCAAAACACTAACTAAGCAAATCAGTTTCAGTAAACTCTGGTAAGAATTGCGGTGGATCAATCTTGAGAGATACAGCTGATAACTCGGGGCCTGGGAGGCCTACTGTGGTCATTACTGGTCCAATTGTTGGGGGAAAATACCTGACAAACACAGCTTAAGAAAGGAAGGAGCTATTTTGGTTCACAGTCCAAGGGGGAGTTCATCGTGGCAGGGCATGGGTGGCAGCAGGGGCATGAAGCAGCTGGTCATGTCGCAAAGACAGTCAGGAAGCAGAAAGTGGAGAATGACCATGCTCTTCTTCCTTTCTCTCTTGCATGTAGTCTGGGACTCCAGCCCATGGAATAGGTTACCTACATTTAGGGTGAGTCTTCCTAGGTCAATTAACCTAACCTTCTTAACTCCTTTTACGTAACTCCTCCCAGAGGCTTGTCTCCAAAGTTTTTCTCGATTCTGTCAAATTGACAATCGCCATAGCCCATCACACCTACCCTGAAACTCTCTGGACATCACTCGAGTGCCTGTGATAGACCAGAAAGACCCTTTCAACTGGGAAAGGTAGAAACTAGAAGCAGGAAGCAATCTAGAGAGAAGCAACCTACTTGTGTAAGCAGCAGGTACAGATGCAACACACATCCAATGACCCCAGCTGAGGTGTAGTACTCGTTCACATCCAGAAGCCTGAGTTCCACAGAAAGCCAGAATTGAGCTTCACATATCAGAGTTTACTTTCTACTTGTAAGCACGGGATGGCTCTGCTTCCT